GCGCGCTTTTTAAACGCAATAATACTCTAACTGTTACCTCCTTGTTTATTAAAAGTTAACTAATAAGTAGCAGGAGCGTTTCTAGCTATCTGTTATGTTAATAACAGAGGTAAGCAATTTAGGGTACAATTAGCAGTAACTACTCTAAAAAACAGTTAGATAGGGCGGATAGGGCCTATTAAAAAGCCTTACTTACTATACAACGTCCTTCTCCCATGAGGCGGATTATATGGAGCGATATGTGCAGTGACCTGCATGTCTATGAGATTTGTGAGGGGAAAGTTGTTACTTGGCATTGCCAAGAATCCAGAGAATTTCGCACACGACAACTGTTACGACCCACGATTGGACCGTAAACCGCCAACCCTCTGTGCCCCACTGTTTGGACGAACAAGGATGGAGTCTCTCTGTCTTCCCGTCCGACAAATCACGTGACTTGACGGACGAGGAATGGACAGAGCTCCTGGACCGGTGCACGGCCGAATGCGTTGTCCAATAAGCTGGGCGCGTTTGCATGCATGCTATGCGCGCTATAAAGGCACAAGCATACAAGACATGCAAAGCATGCAGAGCATGCAACCCTATGTATATAGTTTAAGATCCTAACTACACTTAGAAGTTATAATTAAAGTTTAGTCTAGTTTACTACTACATAGACTAAGTAGCATTACTACTTTTTAATAAAAAGTAATCTAATAGTATATCTTACACTATATATACCTTTATTTTATTCCTATCTAGGAACTATTTAATCTAAGCACCTTATACTACTATTAAAAGGTAAACTATAGTTAGCTGCTTTTTTTACTCTTAGTAACTACGTCTTAACAGACTATACACCTATCTAAGACTAAGTTCTCTCTCTTCTAATCCTCTAACTCTTTCCCTAGGCCTTAAGTTCTTTAGACACTATTTTTTTAAAGTAAAATTATAACATTAATTACTACTTTTTAACAAAGTATAAATCTTTATACTACCTTTACTAACTTAGGAATAACTAGCGCTTTATTAGCTAGTACTAGCTAAGTTCTAACTTTAAATAAAGAAGTAATAAACTAATAGCTAAATAATATAAGAGATAAATTAGCTAGATTAAAATAAATGCTAGCTTAATTAATAAACTAAGGACTAGTAGTAGTAAACTCCTACATCTAAGCTCTTTAACTTAAGGTATTAAATCTTAAAAATAGAGTCTAAAAAAAAAACTAAGTATAGACTTTAAAAAGACTTTAAAACTAGCACCCTTTAAGCTTTTTCTAAAAAGTGTAAAGAACTTTAACTCTTTTTTTACATAATGCTACTTTTATATAACGTACTTCATGGGCGAGTCGCTCACACACCCGAGTCGCTTACTTTTGCCAAGACCCCACCCCAACAAACTCTATTATAGCCTATAACAACCCGCTCTAGCACTATATAGTACAGTACAGCCTAGAATATTATTTAGATACTACTTCTGCTTCTTGCTTACACGTTTGTGTGTTATGCCTAGTCTAATTGCACTATCTGTAGCGCCTTTAGGATAGCTTACCTACTTTAGCTTACACCTGCTTCTTTACCTTCTTCCTATTACTGCGCGCTTTAAACTCCTTTAGAGCTGTTAAGCGCAGGCCTTTTTAAATTATTAAAGTCTTTTCTGCCTTAATCTGCTTTCTTTTATATAATTTATGTTATATAGTAGCCTTATTAGCTGCTTAAAGCTTAGTAATTTCCTGTTACGCTAACACTAGCTTATGCGTAATTATTACTGCCCTTTTTAAGACCTTCTTAAACGCCTTAACTATAGAAGTTAGTAAACTATTTATATGCTTCTAAATTCTTATCTTTATAAGCATTAATTATAACCTAAGTTTTAGAGTATTACTTAGGGTTTACAACTACTAGGGCTTGTTATATACAAGTAGTAGTAGTAATAAAGTGCGCAACTTTACATTAAAGCCTATTATAACTTATTATAGGTTAAAAGAAACTAATCTAGCGCTTTAAAACTTTTCTTAGATATTACTAAAAGTAATTACAGCATTATAGGCTACTTTAAAGCATAGTAGAAACTTTATTTTTATAATATAAGTAATTTAGTTGCGCATAAAGTTTTTAGCTTAGTGCTTATACACCTTCTTTAAAAAAGCAAAACAACCTACATTAAGTAGCTATAAAAGGTGTAATAAGTAAAAAAGCATGTAAATAGTAATAATCTTGTTATTCTTATAGTATTACTAGAAATAAAGTAAGTTATAGCTCTTATAGCTGTTAATAACTAGCAGATAGTAGCTGCTAACAGTACACTTCTTTATATGCATGTTAAAGTGCTTTAACTAGTCTAGACTAAGCTAATTAGTAGTCTAGCTGCGCTTAGAGATTATAATAACTTAATTTTAAAGTAGATTTTTCTCTTTATACTAGTTTAAAAAGTAGTTACTACCCTAAAAAATAATAAAAAGCAGAATAGCTTACTTTTTAGCATTAATGCTCTAGATAGCTGTTGTCTACTTTTAGTTACCTAGCTAGACTGCTTTTAGCTATTCTTGTCTCTTTAAACCTATAATAACTGCTCTAGTAGATATCTAGCCTATTATAAACCTTATTTTATTAAAGTTGTATGTGTTATTATCTTAGATACTATACTTAGCTTTAATATTCTTTATAAAGTTAAACTAGCTTTAAATTACTATAAGATTCTTATAAAAGGCTTTTTTATAGTTATACTTGCGCTTAAACTTTACTTTAAGCTCTAGGTAACACTTAATAAACATATTAAGCTAGTTTATGCTAACATAGCTTATATTACACTTAGCATGTAAAGAATTAGCTATATTAGCCACAGCTGCTAGCTAGAGGGGAAATCCTTGCGCATTTAGCTTAAGTATGTGCTAAATAATTACCTACTCTTTATTATTATCTAGCTTTTATAAGTTAGCTATATAATTAGCTTAGAAAAGGTATCTAGCGCGTTAGTTACTTATTATTTTTTAAGAGACCCTATAGATAGCTGCAGCATGTTAGTTAGAAAGTGTTGTGTCTTATTTAAAAGCTTAGAGTGTAAGCTGCATCTAACATTCCTTTAACATGTTTAAGTAGTGTTGTTAGAAATGCATTAGTATAGGAAAAGTAGTGTAGTAGGGTCTTAGTAAAAGTAAGCAACTTAGGTGTGTGAGCAACTCGCCTATGAAGTACGTTATAGTAAAATACTACAACAGTTCATAAATGATCTGTAAAAGCAAAGCTTGCTTAGAGCAATAGTTAGTACAATAAGGTAGGTTATTTAGGTTAAAGAATAGTTATAGCATAATGCTTAGCAAATTAGTATTAGACAGGTAATAGACACATAATAACAATATTTAACTATAGCATGTAACTAATTACAGCCTGTAACTAAGCATAGCTAATACTAATCTCTAACACACTAATATAGCTAATGCTAATCTCTAACACACTAATATAGCTTATGCTAATCCTTAACACACTAATATAGCTAATGCTATTTCCTAACACACTAATATAGCTTAAAAAGTAGAATAAACATAACTAACTATAATTTAAATATATTTTATATAACATATACTAGAGTAAACTACATGTAAATTAATATAAAAATGTATGTATATTAAGTATACATTATTTTAGAAAAGAATATAAGAAATATATAAAGTAATAATAAATAGTGTTACTAAAGATTATTTAAAAAAATTATAACTAACTAGTGTGTTTTAAAAAAGATTTTACTTAACTTTATATTTTATAAACTTAAATATATTAAGTATAGTAAGTGTTACTAATAACTTACTTTATTTTTAGTAATACTATAAAGATAGTAAAATTATTACTTTTTATATTTTTTTTACTTATTACACTTTTTATAGCTATATAATATAGGTTATTTTACATTTTTAAAAAAGTATATAGGCGCTAAGCTAAAAACCTTATACATA